GCGCATGCGCGTAGGACGCACGGGGCCGGAAGAAACCGGCGACGGCCGGACTCGCGCACGGGCACTCAGTGAGGCTCGCGCAGGGAGCTGAGGGCAACCTTGCTCCCGTCATCCTCCGCGCGAGCCGAGGCGCGAAGCCTGTAAGTCTGGAGCGGATGAAGCCTGCCGTCCTTTATTCTTGCCTTTGGCCCAACAGGCAGTCGATTGGAAGCCACCGCTAGTCCCGGTTAGTCTGTCAGTCACGTCCAGCCCCGACGCTTCGTCAGACCCTGACCCTCAGTCAGTCAGAGTCCGTCAGCCACTGCACCGCTAGGCCCCCGAGACTTAGCACGGGGTCAGGGCCGCTCCTGCTCTCTGCCTCTTGGGGCCTGCTAGGAGGTAGCGCCGCACACAAAAACAATTTCCCCCGGCTTTATCGAGAGCTGCAGGAGCCCTTGGGCGCAAAGGTTAAGCTTGACTGCTACCCAGCAGGTGAGTGGCTCAAACTACCCAGAGGTTTGATGGGAGAAAGACCTGGTGATCTACTTCCGGGGCAGTTCTGCAGTCCCCTGGGCGCCGCGCATTCCCAGCCAGCGCCGGACTCTGTTGCAGGAAGGGTTTTGTGTTGCTGTCACAGTTTTATAAACACCTCATCCACCCGTCCTACGATTCAATAAGTCATATCCAGGAGAGTTGGACAGTTATCACCGCAGTCACTTCTAGGCCATTTTCTCCTTCCGTGGACTCATTGCTATTCACGGAATTATTTTTTCTCTTCTTCCTTGGACTCATTGTTGGTCATGTAATAATTTTTTTTCTAGTCGTGGCAGAAATACACACTACAAAACATTCTCCGAGCCACACCTTCTAATATAGAATGCAGTACCATTGAATTGTGTTGTGCAACCATTATTCCACCATCAACATAAACTCAGTGCCCCACCTAAGCTACAAATCTTTTTCCTTCACCCATGGTACCTACTGGTCAAGTTTGATTTTTTTTTTTTTACTAGTGTTCTTGATATAGCATTCATGTATCATATAATTCTTCCATGGTTAACTTGCTTTTAAAAAGAGTCGTATATACATAATCACAATCAGTTCCAGTACTCCCTCCTCCCGCATTCGCTGTTTGCTCCCCAAATCCCCTCACTTTCCCCACCCCCACTCCAAATCCCAATAAACCATCTTATTAGTTATTGTCGCTATGATCCACTTTTGTGCTTCACAAACTGGGAAACCGAACAGACATTTTTTTAAAATGGCAAGAAAAAAAAATAGAAATAAAGGGTAAGCAAGAAAAGATTACCCTCAATATTTAAAATTCCAGGGAAGAAATTTCTGTAGTGGAACAAGCGAGAAATGCTTGAGCCTAGAGCTAATTTAGGTTGGGTCAAGAGGGAGATCAGCTGACCAAGTATATTATACCATAGTTCGATCCACCACAATCAAGTTTACAATAATCTCTGATAATAAAAATTTTCAAGTTCCTTGCCTGTGCCTAGAGGGGATCTGCCAGAGACTTAACTGACTAGAGAGTCCACAGACCGATTTGGGGCTCCCACTGTCCGCTACAAATTGGGTGTTTACAATTTAAGCGCTGATATTTTTCTCTGCATCATATTTAGATTTTGTTAGTGTCATCTTTGGATCACACAGGGTGGTGTGCTTCTTCTGTGTGGACTTAGTTGATGCCTCCGTTAGATGGCTGCTTGTTTGAATAAAGCCTTTACGACACCCCCGCCCCCACATTATTCCCATTGATAACCGAGCACCACCTGCTTTCTTCACCACACTTGCTATCGCACCCTTATCTTCAGTGATCATTCCATGAAGGCGAGTATTGAGCAGGGCTCTGTTATGAGAACTAACTTCTTGTATTTGGGGCAATAGTTAGTGGGAGCCCAAATCCATCTGCTTGTCCACGGGTTTTGACTGACTCTGGTTCACTTTGGCAGCAGTATTATGACAAAAACAAGAATCCAGAAGAACAACAATAAAAGCAAATGGAAAAAAGGCTAAAATTTCTAGATCATGGGATTTCAATTCCCAGTTGCTTTAAGGATTGCTATATCATTTTCTATAGTGGTTAGATGTATTTACAAGTCCACCAACAATGTATATGCGTTCCAATTTCTCCATTATCTTCTCCACCATTTGTTTTATTTTTTTTAATTACCGTCTTTGCAGAGATGTGGTCCACACAGTGTAAATGGGAACTTGAGCGTCTGCGATCCTCACCTCTCTTCTGCCCGTATCTCTTGTTTTTTTTTTTTAATTTGGCCTAGCTTTGTAGGTGTAAAGTGGAATCTCATTGTGGGTTTAATTTGTGTCTCCCAAATGGCTAGTGATTGTGAGCTTTTTTTTTTCATGAGTTTGTTGGCCATTTATACTTCATTTTTGGTGAGCTGTCTTTTCATGTCTTTTTCCAATTTCTTTATTGGGTCATTTATTATTTTCTAATTGAGCTGTTGTAGAGTTCTACCTATGTGCGATACCAAAAAACAAACAAACAAACAAAAAAAACGACAAAAGCTCCACTGGGTGGAGTTTCATGGTATGCGTTTTTCCTATTAGGTGAGCATCAAGCAATTCGCTCTGTTACCCAATGGCGTCACCTGGGAAGGTTCTCTGTGGTCACAGTGCATTTTTTCATAAAAGCAGTTTCTCTCAAACCTCATTTTTTTTGTGGTGGCCAATTTCAGAGAACAGTGTGTGGCTGTGAAATTTTGTTTCCTGCTTGGGAGAACTGTTGGAGAACTTGTGATGTTGAACACCTCCTACAAGGACAGCGCTATGGGAAAAACTCAAGTGTACAAGTGGTTTTCTCTTTCAAAAGAGGTGAAATGTTGATTGATGATAAACCTCATGCTGGATGTCCTTCAACTTCCCTAACAGATGAAAATGTCGGCAAAGTTTGTGCCCTTGTGCTCGAAGACCAATGCGGGCCATTGAAGAGATGGGGACGTTATCTGGACTATCTTGGAGCTTGTTCAGCACATTTCAGTGGAAGATTTGGGAATGAGAAAGGTTGCTGTGAAATTTGTGCCTCAGTTTCTGACTTAACAGGACAAAGAGCGTAGATGGGGAAACATGCTGTGCTTTGAAAGAACAGTTCCTAAGCAATCCAAACTTTTTCCCCAAGGTCATTGCTGGTGATGAGACATGGTACTATTTTTATGACCCTGAAACCAAATAATCAGTCAAGCCAGTGGAAGACACCAATGTCACTTCGTCCCCCCAAAAGCTCATCAAGTGAAATCAAAGATCAAGATGATGCTCATTTGTTTGTTTATGTGAGGGAGATAGTGCATTTGGAGTTGATTCCATGAGTTAAAACTGTTAATCAAGCTTTCTATTTAGAGTTCCTGAAAATATCGCATAACATTGTGTGGGGGAAAAAAGGCCTTATTTGTGGCAGATAAGGGAATGTTTTTGCCTCTATGACCGTGCACCTGCTCATGCAGCCAAAATGCATGTGTTTCTTGCCTCACACACCTTACCTGACCTCGCTCCATGGGACTTCTTTTTGTTTGCACAAATGAAGAGGGACATGAAAGGATAGCAATTTTATGACATAGAAGAGGTGAAGAAAAAAAACCCGAGGGAGGTGCTATCAGCCATCCAAACAGATGAATTTGAAAAATGTTTCCAAGAATGGAATCACAGATTTGACAAATGTATTAAGTGTAATGGGGAGGACGTTGAAGGTGATAAAGTTATTTTGTTTAAAAAAAAAAAAGTTTAAATACATAGCTTTGGGGGAAATTTTCTGGTTTTTTGGGGGGGGGCTACCCCCTCATATTTTGGTCTTGAAGCTCACTAGTTTGGATTTCCATCTCTTCAATTTTGTTTCTCTGTCCTTTTATAGTATTGTGCAATTTTACTGTTGTAGTTTTTGACTTTTGTATTTCTGCCTGTAAGGTAAGTAGTGAGGTTAGCTTTTCTACTTCACTTTTCCTCTTTGTATGAGCGCAGTCATCATTCTTTTAAATTCTTTTTCTGATAATTTCATAGCCTGTTCAATTTCAGGCACTTCATTTGTGTCTGGTTGGTCTTCGGTTGTTTCAATTACCACCACCCCCTTTTTTTTTTCCTGTGAACCAATATCTTCTGTTGTTTCTTGATATCTTGGTGTAGCTATTAGGGGCGTTAGGGAGGTAGGGTTATGTGGGAGTAGTTAACTCCATTAGGTGGTATAGTAGAGGTGTGGTGGACAGTTTGTATTAAGTATCCGGGGGAGAGTGTTAGATTAGGTGTTAGGGGGTAAATAAAAAAGTGGAAAGGGAGTGTTAGAGAAGGGCGAAAGAAAGGAAAAGTAAGCGAAAAAGGGAGCGATCAGGTAGTGTTATTTGGTAGGTTAAAAGAAAGGAAATTAGACCCTGTTTTGCAATGATGGAGGAATGAGTTGTAATATTTGGTAGAAAAAAATGTAAGAGTAGCGTTAGCTTTGGTTTTATAAGAATGAGAAAGAAAAGTTTTGATGAGAAGAGAAAATAAAAGGTTAAAAGAGCCATAAAATAAAAGTTTAGATATTAATATTAAAGAAGGGCAAGAGACTAAATATTACAAATTAAAATGGAAAAAATAATACTAGAGTAGGAAGCTGGAGAGCTGTTAATGTAATGTAGATAGACTGTGCTAGCCTTGGGGAGGTAAGGCTGGGAAGGTATCAGACCAGAGCTCCCTGGATTTGGCCTGAGAGTCAAACCTGTTTGTGCTTATATCAGCTCTAGGCTGGTCCCTTCGAGCTATGTCCCTGCAACTCCGATGCCCTAGGTAGCTCCTGGGCAGGGGAAATTCGGTCTGTGCTCCATCTGCTAGTGCTGAGGGTGAATGACGAGTGTTATCAGCCAATGTTGCTGTTCTTTTATTTTAATAAATTTGTGTCTGCTTATCTTTATGCTCAGAATCCTGCAGTCTGGAAGTGTAGGATATCCCTGCCTGGGACCCTGTGCGCTAGTCTCTGCAGACTCCCTCCCCTGGGTACTACTTGGTCACCATCTTGCTCCGAACCTCTGTAGGAAGTGTTGGGGTCGGGGGTGGTTTTTCCTGGTTCTTGCTTCTCAACACTGAAAGAATTCACATGGCAGAAGCACCTTTGTACATCCAAATAACTTTTATGAGGGAAAAGGAAGTTTGGGGTAATATAGTCTCAGATAGTACATGCTATCCCTGGAAAGCATGCAAGGCTGCACGGGGGACCGTGAAAGAGTTAGGGATGGAAAATGGCCACCTCTGGGGAGCACCGAACACCACGTGGAAAATGGCCAGAAATGAGGAACCATAAGAGGAACTCTTGCCCGCTGTTTCTGCTTTTTTATGTGCTATTCATCCCTTCCTACCCCAATTTGGTGGGCACGGTTGAGGGTATGGGCCATTCTTAGTGGCAGGGTTTAGGTGCATGTATTATGTAGTGTTGCTGGTTTCTACTGTGCATGCCCAGCTGGCTTTAATTTGCATGTTCAGGTGGCTTCAGTCTGTGCACACTC